AAGAAACACGCAACCAGGCTTTGCTCAGAATGCAGAACTACCAGAATCAAGCAGCTCGGTACTACGATAAAAAAATGCACAATCGACACTTCGACAAAGGCGACCTGGTCCATCGAAAAGTCTACGAGAACACCAAAGAAGAGAATGCAGGGAAGCTCGGCGCAAACTGGGAAGGTCCGTACATTATCGCTAACGTAGTAAAACCAGGAGTTTATCGACTCGAAACATTGGACGGCGAGTTGATTCCACGAGCCTGGGACTCACTCAACCTCAAAAGATACTACAGTTAGATCGGCACCTCCTTGAGGTCGGCATCTTCAAATAAAAAATTAGGGGAATAGTCCCTATGAACTATGAAGTGGTTTGATCCCCGAAAGGGGTACGCATGCAGCCTATCTTTGGATGGTGCAACTGCTCCCCCTTCCAAAACGGGGGGGACCCATAAAATTTCTTTTAGCATTCAAGTCTTCTTCGGTTTATAAGTCGTTACTTTGATTCAATAAAATCTTAACTTTCTGGAAATGTCGTGTTCGTTATCATATCGGTATCCTGGCCAGATGCTCGATTCGCCTAAAGCTAAAGTCTGATCCACTTTAGTTCTGTTTCAATATATCCGAGCCATGCGTCGTTGTCAGCCAAGTCAGTATTGCATCCGCATTCGACTCAGATACTTCTAAGTGGTACCGATGAATTGACGCCGACCAGAATCGCACATCGAGTATTCACACTTAGAAGTGTAGTGGTACAAACAATCGTAAGCCAGGCCTCCCGCACGTTTGTATTCACACTTCCCTTAAAAGCCAGAACCCGCTCTGCAATTCTTAAGCCATGCGAAATTATAAGCCGACCTGCTCGCAATTTGTATTCGATTTAAGAAATTTCTAAGTATGGAATATACGCCGATCTCATTCGCTTTTTAACCTAATACTTAGAAATTTAAATCGCATAAATATAAGCCGATATCACATCGTGATTTATGTTCAGATTCTTAAATAAAACCCATTTCATTAATAATGCCAAAAACGATGGATGATACATCAGAATAATACTGCTCGGCGATTACAATTACTTAGCGAAAAAAGGGAAGAAGGGATTCTATTCATCGCCCTCGGCTCTTTCCTGGACTTCTCCTTCCTCTTGTTCGGCCTTTTGACCGCCACTCTGATCGGTGTCTTGGACATCACTCTTATCGGCCTCTGGTTCCTTCTCCTGATCGGCTCCCTCTAAAGCCTTGGCCGTATCGGGTGGAACATCACTAGAGACTTCAAGGAAAACCTCCGCATCTTGGACTTGAAGTTCCTCCAACGTAAAACTAATTTCTTCAAAGGCATCCAGACTTGCCTTGCTTTCGGCGATCAGCTTCTCGACATTCTCCTCAACAAGGGCCGGAAAATTGTAGCCTTGTTTACGAACGATGCCGAGTGCTTTCTTAGCCCCAACCCACTGAGCCGTGGTCGAGATCAACTCATGGGCCTTCTCCTTACGGGAAAGCGATTCCTTCACTTTTGCGACCAAGCCCGCATAGTGATTGTTCACCGCGACTGCCGTACGCTTCGCCACTTCTTGCCTAAAGGCAAGTTTCTCCTCTTGAGCGGCCTTCAGCTCGGCCTCCAGCTTCCTTTGCGAGTCGGCCCTCTCTTTCTTTATGGCTTTTATTGCTCGATTGAGCAGTTTGCTTTTCTCGGCTTCGTCGGCGCAAACCTTCTCCAGCTCCTCGGAAGATTTTTGAAGCACAGCTTCCAGTTCAGCCCTCCTTCCCTGTTCGGCCTCAAGAGCTTCCTTAAGACTCTCCCTTTCAGCCTCTTCGGCCAGGCTCTTCTTAACATCCCGATCATATTCGCCCATCACGGTCAATGCCGTGCTCAGTGCCTGCATACTAAAATATTAATATTCGAAGTCACTCTAACTCGAAGAATTTACAAACAAGCACGTAATGTCTCTTTACCTTGGCCTGGCCAGATCTCATTTTCTCTCGTCGGCGGTAGTATCGTTCAAGCGCAGCTGACGAATAATCAGAGATTAGATCGAATGGAAAATCCCCGAATACCAAACAGGCTTCTAGCGAACTAAACTAACCTCTGGTCTTGATAATATTTTCTTCCGTGATCTCAGGCCACGTTATCGCAGCAATCCTCGAGAATCGTTCGGCAATGTCGTAGATATCCACCGGATCGTCGACAATGGGAAGATGTTTGTTTCCTGCAAGGACAAAAAACGAGTCAGTCGACGAAAAGAAGGAATGTCAAACTATTCACAGCTTTTACATATTCAGGTCGGATAAATTTTCTACCCATGACCTCCGCCCATTTTGTTCGTATCGGCACATCCCTGTCGACGATGGAGAACTCGTTGATCAACACAAAGAAGTATTTATCTCTCCAGTCGTTGACCTTCGACTTTTGGCCACCAGTGACGATGTTGAATTTGCTGTTCATACTGATGTAGTATGAACCCCTATTCCGTAACTTCTCTTTTGTCCTTCTGGTGTTAGTCATCGCGTCAAACGCAGCTCGGCTCAACGGAATTCTATGATTAATCGACATCACCAACATACTGACTATCAGGCGGATGGTAGAATGGGAGAACTGAGAGATCGGCATCTCCTTGTGATCGGAAAATTCGAGCAAAAGTCTTGGGAGTGGAAACCACAAATGGAACTCTTTGAAGAAACACTCGTATATGCAGAACCACCGTGGTGGTGCATGCCATGGCCGCTCAGACGGCCCTGACACCATAAACACGATTTCAGGACCAATGTCGCATTCCTCTTTCAAAGAGACCAACGACTCCATCGTCGATTTGGTCGGCATTACCCCCAGGGGATTATCGCAGATCGGCTTTATGACTGGCTCCCCCTTTTTCCTTTTAACTTTTTTGACATGAGGATTCAGATCAATAATGCCGAACTGATTCACCTCATCTTCAACGATGAGTGTTTTCTGTTCGTCCGAGATATCCATCTCATTCGAACCACCACGTTCGTCCGAGATATCCATCTCATTCGAACCACCACGTTCGTGCGAGATATCCATCTCATTCGAACCACCACGTTCGTCTTCCTTATCTCTTAACTACGGGATCAAGAATAGTTCCCGAGAAGATGATTCTCCACCCATCGGAACAGCCCCAACCTGGTCGCGTGGAAGCAATCGGCTGCAGCCTTTTGATTTTCTACTCTAACTCGCTCCTTGAAGGCACGATCTAGCGCTGATAGGACGCTGGCATCAGAGGACCGATCTGACTCTGGTTCTTCAACAACGACCTGTTTTCCTTTCGATCGCCTCAGGCCGTCTCTTTCTATCTGGAGAAACTCATCCAGAGAGATCTTGATCTCGTCAGCCCTTTCCTTAGCCGATCTGACTGTCCTCAACTCTGGTCGGCTTTCACTAATCTTAACACCATTGCCCATAATGGCGCGACAGAGCTTTCACTAATCAGAAAAATCAAAGGCGGCGCTTGAAACAAAACGCGGCGGAGGTCTAACCGGAAAATTCTAGTTAAAATAAATGAAGAACAGAGAAGAGAGAAAGGAGAGCAAACCTGATTTTGACAGAGTTTCGCTAAATCACAGAAGTAAAGAATTGAGAGCCGAATCACTCTTATTTATACTAAAATGAGAGCGGTTATTGAGAGTAATCATTAGATTGGCGACCTTTCGCATTTCTTTTCGTTATTTTTAATCGGCCTCTTAGTTTTCTTCCTCTCATGTTTGACACGTGTCAACCCTAGTTCTGCATGTGCAGACCTAGGCTACCCTATAAGGCCTTTGGCGGGAATTTCTCGCGCCCAAAGTTCACCATCTAACCCACGAAATCGTGCCGATCTGAATTCAAGGTAATTTTACATTTTATATATTACTAACTCTTTTGCAGCCGGCCAGAATCCACACCGAGCATCATTTCTTAAAATTTGCCAAGTAACGCATCCTCACTTACCGAACTGGGAGGGACTTACTGTTAGAGATGAGATTTGTACGATCTCTACATACCCGATATGAATTCTGATCGGCCCATCTAGCAAGTTTCAGGTCGACGATATAAATGGAAATCTTCCATTTATCGAGCGACCCGGGAAAAAAGGAAATTCTTTCTTGTCGGCAAGAAGACTTTTCTATTCTAAACACGTTGAAGACCGACCTGGTCAGCTATAAATATAGGAAGTCCCCGACTTCTCAGGATCATCCAAAAATCATCTATCGAGACCTAGGGCAAACTAAGCAATCTGATTGTTCTAGCTTTCGATTTACTTTCCACAAAAGTTTAGGTCGGCGTTCTTATTCCAACGACCTAAACCTCCGTGTATTCATTCAAGCTCCGGCTTCTTTTAATAAAAGATTTTTCTTTAAACCCACAAACCCTAGTTCTTTCATAGATCGAACTTGAGTTTTTACATAAGCCTAGGTTCCATTGCAAATGATCCAAAATTGTTCATGTTAGTGAAAGAAATGGAATGTAGCCTACACATAGACACGGCCAATAATCCTAGATTCTCTACTAAATCACTTGCAGGAGAGTTTTGCCAATTTTCAGTAAGATTAATTTATGTATCACTAGAGTGAATTATCGATACAAGGCAGTTAAATTTCTCACTCGAAACAAGTATTTGTTGAAGCAAAGAGAAGCTAGAGAGAGAGGATTAATATTTAAGGCTTACTGAGAGAGAATGTCTTGTGTTGAAGACATTTCGGCTTTGAGATTCTCCTTTTCGGTGGCTATCTTCTCATCGACTGTAACGAGATGAGGATGAGTTCTAAGAATACAGATTTGAATTTAAGCCCAAAACTGGTTCTTCCTCCTATGTTGATGACAACAAAACGTTCCAAATTTCAAACTACAAAATCGAAAGATTCATTAGTAAGCGAAATTAGAAAGTGAATATAAAAATGACATATCCAGTGTTATATCCTGTCACTGAAATTTGGAAACTCTGATGTACTTGCTATATTTAGGAAAATACTCGTCCAATATAAATTATAAACTAGTTTTTGATTTCCTCTCGAGCGTTATCTTGTTAATTCTAACATGTCGCTGTCTTCAGTGTTTAACCTTCAAACCACCACAAGCTGCAACAAGTCGTCTTCGTCTTCGTCCTCGTTGTCACCACTAAATCCGCCGTATCTCCCTGATGAAATACTGTTGAACTACTTTGCACGCGTCTCGAGATTGTACTACCCGACTCTCTCCTTAGTCTCCAAGAGATTCCGCTCTCTCATTGCTTCACTTGAGCTTCGCAAGACCCGAATACTTTTAAACTGCAATGATAGTTGTTTCTACGTGTGCTTATGTTTTGATTATGGAGTACCAACACGTTGGTTCACTCTGAGTCTGAGACCATCTCGTTCTAGCCCTAACCCTAACCCTAGATCACAATGGTTCACTCCATGTTTTAGACCATTATTTAGGAAGAAAGAGAGGAAGTCAGGTGATAATGTTTTGGTCTCAGTCCCAACTCCCAATATTTATCCCTACCAAACGCAGGCTCTTGCTACAATTGGTTCTAATATATACATGATTTGTGATCGTGGACTATCCTCGTCTAGGTTTTTATATATGGACTGTAGGTCTCACACGTGGCACGAAGCTCCAAGCATGAAGAAAGCTCGAGGGTTTCCTGAGGCGCATGTTCTTGATGGGAAGCTGTATGTAGTGGGATCTTACACATATTGTAATGATGAGTCCGTCGAGGTTTTCGATCCCAAAACCCAAGCATGGGAGCCCCGGCGCAGAGATACGTGGGATGTACGTATTCGAAAGTTTAGTCATCAAAGGGAAACTTTATCTGTTTGGGAACAAGACTGTGGCATACAACCCCAAGGAAAACAGATGGGATGCGGTAGGAGAGACGCGTCTTACGATTTTGGGATGGGAGATGGTTGAAGATATGAATTTGAAATCTTATTGTGTGATAGATGAAGTAACCTACTGTTACAGAACTCGTAAAGGAGGGCTTGAATGGTACGACTTTGAGGAACGCTCTTGGAACGTCTTGAAGGGTTTAGAAGGAATGCGTAAATCACCAAGTTCTTTTAACGATAGATTTAGATTGGTGAATTATGGTGGGAAGCTTGGGGCTTTGTGGTTGGAGGATGCGGGTGGTTTTAGTCTTAAGACGAAGGTTTGGTGTGCTGTGATTGCGCTTGAAAGACGCAGCAAACGTGAGATTTACGGCAAGGTCGAGTGGTGCGATGTTGTGCTTACTGTCCCCAAGTCATGTCTTTTAGAAAACGTTGTTGCTGCTTCTGTTTGATGAGAGTGAGACACAGAGTTTGTCACACAACATGGTGTGTTACGTCATTTTTTTTTCAACGTGTTGAAGGATTGTTTTTGTTTGATTTGTCCTTGCTTACACTTGTATATTTACTTATTGTGGATTTTTTTTTCCTAGATCATTTTCTTCAGTAAATTGCCTTTACAAAAAGCCTGATTTTCAACTGATGGATGAGCATAATTTAGTGTGGATTGTGTTCTGAGATGAAAATCATGATTTCAATTGATATGATCAACCGATTAACATTTCTACAAACAAAAAGGGTTTAGAGAAAGATGAACATTAGCGTTTGCGTTTCAGTAATCGACCCAAACGCAATGGCTATAAACTCAAGCGTCTAGCCTATTTGATCAAAGACGAAAATGGGTACGAAATATACACACTTTGTTAATGAAGAGAGCATTTTTATACTACTTAAAACGTACCATTAAGCTTAAACACTAACGAGACAGCTTCCTAAAAAATTACATAGAACTGTTAGCTGCTGTTTTTTTAGTCAGGCTGAGTTGTTGTAGGAACCAAGATTGGTCTCTGCAACATCCTGACGTGTGCTTGTCTCTGGTTCTTGCTCATTCTTGTCCAAGTTTACTCCTTCCAGCGATGGGACTGTCGAAAATCGATTCTGCAAGAAGCAGGTAAGAGAAAAACGGGAGCTTTCAATCTTATTACCAAGCAAAAAATATGTGATCTAGCAGAAGAGATTCTGTTGTGATTTAACCTTTAGAGAGCTGTTTTCAGCAAGAAGCTCTTCGTATTGGCTTTTAAGCTTGTTAATCTCTGCTCTAAGACTTGCGTTTTCTACATTCAACACTTCTGCTCGTTGTGCTAGCTCATCACATTCCGCCTAAACACACACAAACAAACAAAAGGAAAAAAAAAGCATTTGGTCATTTCATAATCTATCTGCTTGATGTTAACGCATTTTGACCTTAGGTCATACCTACCTGTTTACGCAACCTGGATCTACGAGCAGACTCCCTATTGGATTGTTTCCGTCTCTGTCGCTTAAGCTCTCTCTCGTCCTAGTTTCCAAAACAATCAAGCTTGAATAAACAGCAAAGGAGAAGAAGTAAGAAAGAGGACAGAGTTACACAAACCTGAAACCACGGTTGTGACTGGGAACCATCTACTGCAACTCCAGGAACTGATGTAGAAACATTCCCATGTCCGCTCCAATAATCCATTCCGATATTCAGATTTGTTGGTGGTCCTGTAACACCTGTAGCTGAAACTGGCATGATCGGGACGATTTGGTTCACCGGTAGATTACTTCCATTACGAGGTGGTCCATGCCCAGAATCTGAAGCCGTTTCACCTGAAAGTAAGAGCACTCTCTTGATATGCATGTTTCAAACATGTAGGTCTATATATCAACATTGTAATAAGAGATGAGTTATATAAAAAAAGATAAGATTAACAAACCATCATCTTTCCCATTGTGTCTAGATCCAGAGTCCTACAAAAGTGATCAGTAACATGATCATATTCAGAAACACTCCTTCAAACTCCTTTAAACTGAAAATGATTTAGTGGATTGTTAAGACACTTACGTTTTGTGAATTTGCATCACTTCCTTCACTTGAACCATCAGAGACGCTCTCAGCACTGTAAAACCAAAAACAAACCTATCGATTTTTAGCAAATCTATCATAGCTAGTGATATGCAAACAAGATTTTAATTTTCATACAATCATGAAGTTACATGCCTTTTAGAGCAGGCTCCATTAGCTGATGCTCCTGAGTTTTTCCCAGTCTCGTTGTTCTTCCCTATAATCATATTCAAACTTCCCAAGCTTCCTTTAGATCTTTTGATTGGCAACTTTTCCTTCACCTCAGATTGTTTAGCGGCCTCGCCCTCAATGCCGCTTCCATTATTTCCCTAAACCCAAAAACATTTTCTCAATCAAGATCCCATTTTTGATGAGTCAAAAACCTAACGACAAAAAAGGAAGAAAAGTGAAAAACTTACAGAAGCTTCAGCCATTCCATTAGGAGAAGGCATTGCATAAGGACTGTATGGATAAGACCCCTGTAGCATCACGGAAACACCTTAACAGAAACTACATAAACAGTAACATAACCAACGGATCCAAAAATGTAGTAGCTTTACCGGAGGCAATGAAGGATGGCCGTACATTCCACCTGGAGGATACATCGCAACATATGGATGAGGCGGTGTTCCATAAGGAGGCATCATATGCTACAAAAAGAAAAAGAAAAAGATCATCTTATATTGAAGCTACATTCATTACGGAGATCAAATCTACGCAAGTGACCAAGATAATATCTCCCAAGTATGCAAATTTTTACCTGAACGCCCCACATATAAGGGTGAGGTTGAGGACTTGATGCCACATAGCCATGAGGCGGCATAGGAGAATAAGCCTATTAAGCAAGAAACAATGAGCCACTTAATACCTAAATGCAAAACAAAGAAACAAGGACAAAGGAAACTTCTTTTCAGACCTGGAAACCAGACCAATCTGGAGTAGCCATTCCAGCACTAACAGCAGAAGAAGGTTCCTGCAAAAAACACAAAAACATAAATCACCAAAAGCATGACACTAAACAACACACTTTACTAGATCGATTTAAACAATGCAAAACCTGTGAAGCAGCAGGAGCAGGAGCAGAAGAAGAAGAAGGTGGTGGAGTCTTAGGTTCGTTCTCTTTACCCGATTTCTCCATCTCGCTGCTACCCATTATCACATTCACCAAATTCTAAAATAGCCAGTGACAAGCTCACACAAGGACCAGAACGTGTTCTGCTTATAAGTTAAAACCAAACAAATCCAACAATCAGGTGTCACAGAGGCTGGTGTAGAGATATTCCCTAAATAAGCATTGACCCAATACAGCTCCTAAGCAATTTTTCTCACTGATAAACCCAGAAGCTAAAAATGTCACATTTTTATCACAGGATGCCAATAAAAAAACATACCTGTTAAGTTAACAAAGCTGGAGAGGTAAAGAAGAGACGATTAAACCAAATCTAACAAATCTAAATAGAATATTTATTACTGCCCTTGAAGAATTACACCGAATCCAAAGTTGTAATTTTGCAAAGGGACTGTATATATAAACATTTTATATTTTCTCCAACTGAACATTGACCCAATACAACTCCTACGCCATTATTCACTGATTAAACCCAGAAGCTAAAGAGGTCACATTTTTATCACAGGATGCCAAAAAAAAAGAACCTACCTTTAAATTAACAATGCTGGAGAGAGGCCAAGAAGAGACGATAACACAAATTCTAACAAATCTAAATACAAAAGTTTTAAATAAACCCTTGCATAATTACACCGAATCCAAAAATGAATTTCAGAATCTATTCGGAGATGGAATATAAAAAGAAACTAATCATCTATTGTATTTTCGTTCAAACTAGGGATCGGCATATATGAAAAAAATACCTCAGGATCGGTAATGTTGGAGCAATCTGAGCAAAACTAGATATGGGAAATGAATCAAAGAAGCTTTAATTTTGCAGAAATTGGAGTGAGATTGGGAGAATCAATGAGGATTATAAATTTTGGTGATTGGTTCGTGTCGTGTTTCTGACGGGGAGGAGGAAGGTGCGTGCCTGCGTGGGCTTGACACAGAGAATAATAAAAATTAAATAATCGCTTCTATCTAAAATTGACTTCAAGCCCAAATCTTCTTTTATCTTTTTTTGGTAAGCATCTTTTATCTTATTTTTACCTAAACTATTTATAATTTCAAAATGTATGAGTTAATATTTTTTTAAAAATACTTTGTTAATTTTGATTTTTTTTTATTTCAAACGTAATATTATAAATAATATTAGTTAAATCACCTTGTCAAAAAGAAATCACAGTTAAGTCTGATGATATTTATTGATATGTGAAATCAAAAGGTATTTTTTACTAATCAATAAAGAATTTATTAGATTGTCTGAGCATTTTTATATAATTTGGGGACTGTAGTTAAAACTTGTATAACTTCATAATATTTTGACACATCTAATTTTATATAATAAAATTGTTTAGTCAATAAATTAGTTTAAATTTAAAAAATATTAATTTTTTGAATATAATTTACCGTATAACGTTTTGAGGCTTTTTGACTATAGAGTTGACTTTCTTAACAACCCCACGAAATCAAGAGTTAAATGCTTACTCAGCGCTTCGATGACGTGGTAAGATCTGAACTGTTAATCGTTCTTTAATCGAGACCGTTGAATTTCCCATTAGGAGCGATCCGATTTCTTTCTTCCTTCTTTCCTTCCTCCTCTCGCACCCTTCCCAAGTCGAAGATCAGTATTCAAAGATTATCTCTGCTGAATCGTTTTCTGGAAACGGAGTAGAAATGGGTTTCGAGGATGATCCGTAAGCTCTTCTCCTTCGTCTTCAATTTTATATATAGCTTTTGTGCAGACCAAATTCTCAGCTCCCCCTTCCTCCTTTGATTGAAATCTAGGGTTACCGAGATCGAGCTTTTTGGCACAAAAAAAAGTTTATTATGTTTCATGGGGAGACGAAAACCTTGATTTTTTTTGCTCCTGTTGATTTGAAATCTTTCTGTATTTTCAGATTCGTAAATTTCATTTTCGTGTTCGATTGTGCGTAATCGTTAAATTGATCGTTTCTCGTTTCAGGTACCGTGATGTAGATGGGGAGCCATTGATGGACTTTGACGAGCCACTCCAGGACTTTGAGGATAACTTGGCCGATGATGTCGGAGACTGGGATGGTGAAGGGTCACAGACGCCTGTTTATGAAAACGACAAAGTCAAACCGAGGAAGAGGTTGGTGAAGAAAGCGTCTAGTGGAACAGAGACTATCGATGTTCCTGAATTGATTGATGAGGATGTGGAGGATGCGGAGTTCGATGAGTTTATGGATGGAAGAGGAGGAGGAGGAGGACGAGGTGCTACAGATTATGCTGATGATAAGGTTGGTAGGAAGAGGAAGAAGGAGAAAGATCGAAGTGGTAGTGGCAGTGGGAAGGAGAAGAGGAATAAGTTCTCAAGCCGCGGTGAGAGGAAGTCAGATGAGATTGATGAGATGTGGAAATCTATTGCGAATAACCCAGAGGTGCAACACAAAATTTGGGTTTTTTTCCCTCTGAGATTCTGCTGATCGAGAGATAGATTTTGTTTTTTCTTTATCTCATAAAAGTTATTTTTTCTGTTATAGAATGATGAAGAAGGTGTTAGGACTATGGATGACGATAATTTCATTGACGATACTGGTTTGGATCCTTCTGAGAGGTATGGAGGTGATGCTGGAGACCGCTCTCCAACCCATTTTCCTCAGGTATGAGTGGTATCCTCGAGTTTCATCATCTTTGAATCTAGCTTCTGTTTGATGATGATACATAATGCTTTTGCTATGAACAAAACAGGCGGAGGAAGGTGACGAGGATGATGAGGTGAATAACCTTTTCAAAATGGGGAAGAAAAAGAAAAAGACTGAGAGAAACCCTGCGGAAATCGCACTCTTGGTTGAGAATGTGATGGCTGAGCTTGAGGTCACTGCTGAGGAAGATGCAGAACTTAATAGACAGGGGAAGCCTGCTATCAACAAGCTTAAGAAACTTTCCCTTCTCACCGATGTACTTGGAAAGTAAGTTTCTGACTTGCAATGATTCTATACCGTTTCGTTCTAAGCGATCTGTTTTGTAATATCGCATGTTCGACTTTATCCAGGAAGCAGCTTCAGACAGAGTTCCTGGACCATGGAGTTCTAACTCTGTTGAAGAATTGGCTTGAGCCTCTTCCGGATGGAAGCTTGCCAAATATAAACATCCGTGCAGCTATTCTAAGGGTTCTTACTGATGTAAGCTCCTGTTTTCCTGTAGATATATTTGCCTGATTGACTAAATTTGGCTTCTTTATTAATTCCTGATTATGTCTTTGCAGTTTCCGATTGACTTGGATCAGTATGATAGAAGGGAGCAATTGAAAAAGAGTGGGCTTGGAAAGGTTAGGATACACCACTTGATTATGAGCTGTTATGTAGGAATTAACCCTCATGAACACTGATATTTGTTCTGGCTTTGGTAGGTCATTATGTTCTTATCAAAGTCCGATGAGGAAACTACTTCAAACAGAAGACTTGCTAAGGATTTGGTTGATAAATGGGTATGCAGCTTTTTCTACAGCTTTTCAGTCCCTTGAATCAAATTCCACCCATCTGCTTACTGTATGGCTTGATGTTGCAGTCTCGTCCAATTTTCAACAAGAGTACTAGGTTTGAGGACATGAGAAATCTTGATGAAGATAGGGTTCCTTACAGAAGGCCAACAGTGAAGAAGTAAATCCCAGACACCTTTTGATTTTTGGACTTCACTAGCTTTGTATTCACATTCGTATACTGATACGTAGCTTCTTGTCTTGTTCTATTGGTGTTTACAATAGACCTATCAACAAAGCTTCAACGATGGAGTCCAGAGATGGTGACTTTGACTTAGATATTCGGTATGGAAGAACCATCCCGATTTTGGATATGGAAGCACTTCGTATAAGGTTTATGTTTCGACAATACTCAAGAGTGTGCTGATATATATGCAGGCAACGTAAATCTGGTCTGACTTCGGGTCAGAGTTCAAGGGGAGACTCGTCCAGGCAAATGACCATGAGACCAGAAGCAACCCCATTGGACTTTTTGATTCGTCCTCAATCAAAGATTGACCCTGATGAGGTCAGAGCCCGTGCTAAACAGGTTTCTCAGGACCAGCGTCGAGTGAAGGTAAAACAATCTTACCTTTAGTTATCCCCGACAAAACACCATCTAGTTACCATTAGAATCAAGCTCCTTGCTCATGCACAAGATTGTTCCCGGGACCTTGTGCTAATCACAGTTTATGAAGAATAAACCATTTGTTGCTCTTTCTTTCCTCTGAGTTCTTCCTTAAGCTGGGCTCTTTTGTGATAAAATCGCAGATGAACAAGAAACTGCAGCAGCTAAAAGGAACAAAGAAGAAGCGGTTGCAAGCCACGAAGGTGAGCGTGGAAGGTCGGGGTATGATCAAGTACTTGTAGAGAGGTTGCGACCACGACGTTGTAACTGGCTCTTCTATCTTGTAATCTTCAACTTTGCTTGGATCTGTGTTTAAAGACCTTCGAGGTGAATGAAGTCAATGACTTTGAGGCATTGGGGTTATGCTTATATGTACTCTACTATCAATGGTTTGCTTTGAGTCTCTATTGTAATGGGAAGTGAAAACACTCTCTTCGTCACTTTCCTCTTGAGAGCAGAAATTATTATTTACGGTAAACAATAAAGGTCCGTTTTTTTTTTACTTTTCTTTTAAATCAGCTGAGCCTATAAATGTTGTCTTTAATCCCTAATTTCCGAAACTGTTAATAAAGTTTGTTCTTTTTCAACAAACGCAAACGCGTAACTGCAGTAGAAGAAAAAAGTTTATTTCTTCTATATTTTTTCTTCAAAAGTTCGGTAACAAAGAGAAGAAGAAGACAATCCCTAATTTCTAATTCCTATAAGTCTCTCTTATCTACTTACTCCAAATCTTGAAGCTGCATAAGCATATGAACCCACAACGCAGACAAGAACAGCAAGAACCAAAGAGAAGAGCTGAAAATTAGCAAGAAACTCTCCAGAGACTTCGTAATCGACTGATCTGCAAACGACAGAGTTCCCTTTTAAACCGCAGCCTTGAGGCATCATAGGACCATAGAGAGTGAAAGCTGTCTGATAAAACCAGAGGCCTTGGAGAGTCATTGCAATGCCATTGCATAGATCCACTGGGAAGCTTGTAGGGCAAATTGCTCCTGCGATTGAGGAGATGACGCAGAGACCGATGAGAAAGACGAGGAGGAGATGGTAATAACCTTCAAGACCTTTGTGGCTTGTGGAGTGGAAGAAGAAGAGAAGACATTCTGCTGTAAAAGCTGTTGCAGCGACCAAACACAGAGCTTCTTGTGGCAGAGGAAGTAACCTAATGACAAATAAGAAAGCATCCATCACGGTGAATCTCTCGACTCATACAGATCCATTTCTCTACGGTTGTTTCATAAGACAATGAAGCCAAGAATCACTAGACAATGAGTTCTCAGAATCACCAAAGATCCAACCTTTCTTCGAAGCTAAATACGAATCTTGATGAAATTATCAATGATCAAGATCCATTTTTAACATCGGAACCAAGTCAAGAATCACTAATAAGCCGCTTTTGAGTTCCCAAAGGTCCAACGTAACTTCAAAGAAAATTACCAATCTTGATGAATCTATCAATAATCGAATCATATTATCAACGATCTAGATCCATTTCTAGGACTGCTTGCATCTAAATTCAAGTCAATATCACTGAAAAAACCCACCTTTAAATTCTCAAATCACCAATGATCCAACCTATAGCTAGCATAGCCATAAATGGTACTATTAACCAAACGATTTTAAAATACCTCGTTTTCTCGGAGATCAAAGCGATAAACCCGAGGATGAAGAACATGAGAAGCATCCCGGAGTGCTCGAAGTCATTCATGTGGGAAGGATTCAAGACACCATTGACGAAGAATCTGAGATGAGTTGAGTACAAGAACTCAATGCACAAGTCGATGAACGAGCCAATAGTGACAACGTAAAGCTCCAAGTACTTGATCCTATCGTCGAAACCAGGAACAGGGTGCCAAACTCGAACCCGAAATGATTTAGGGTTCGACACGAATCGAACCACTGAGCTCCAAATGTGCCATACTCCAACCACAAAGAACAATGTACCTGGCAAAGCATGGCCCTTGAAAGAACCCATCTCTGTTTCTCTTTTTTTTCCAATTCCTGATGAAGAGATGGCAATTGGATCAGTTCTTCACTATCAAATTACTGTAATCTGTAAAAGCTTCAGATTCTAAATCCATAATCGAAAATCTGAAATTCATTGATTACTCAAAAAGCTATATTTTTTTTTGTTTTCGTACTTATAGCATAGAGATTCAAATAGAGTAATACCTTGTAAGAAATTGCAGATCTTCTTCTTCTTCTGTGGAATTCGATGAAAGACTTGCAAAGACAGATTCGTCGATGAAAACGAGAGATGGAGAGAGAAAGAGAGCAAAACAAACAAATTCGGTCAACGTTTGAAGCTATTGAGAGTAGCTAGAAGCTTCACACGTTAGGGGAAAATAACAAAATGTAATTTTTAATCGCGGAAGAGTGAAATTGGTTTTTTAATGTGGGGGAGGCGTGTGAAGAAGAAGCTCAGAAACGGAACAAAAACCACAGAACGAAAAGTAAAAACTTTGGATATGATCAGATATAGTAAAAGATAAACTTTTTTCCACAGAGAGAAATTTTGGATCAATATGGAAGAAAATAAAAATCTCTAGAGGGTGAAAAATAAGACTTTTTAGGTTTTTGGAGAAGAAGAAAAGTTGAAAAAGGTGAGCAATAATAGGACAATCATGGAAGAAAGGATCACCATATTCACATGGGAGCACTTGAGAATCTGATCTTCACTTCAAATTTTTAATAATTTAATTATTCATTAGATCATTATTACTCCAACAAATCGAGAGAGGAAGATTGTTTTTATTTTGTTTTCGGTCAATAGATTATTAATTTAGTTTTTAGCTTGTTTAATCAAATGTGACTAGTGAAAACGACAGTAAATAATGCCACGTGTGTAATATTATATGGCTATTGAGACTCTCTATACTCTAGCGTCGCGAGTCTACTACACCTGAGAGACGGGAAAATTATTTCCGGTGAGTTTTTCCGGTAATATGTATCGGAAGCAAAACACGTTTCACACTCTGGAACTGAATCCGATAGCCAAAAATCGTTAGTGGTTCTCATGAGAATCCGGCGACTTGTTCTTCGTCTGAGCAATTCAGTCATTCCTCCGAGATCTTATGGGTTTTTTTATTTGGAAAAATGGTTCACGTTAAGCAGGATTTGGAGTTCCTGAAGGTGAGGAGTCAGATTCAATTTTCGTTTATCTGATTTAATTGGATCGTTGAGTGTATTATCTTCCCCATCTTTTATTCAGCTAGTTTAGGTTTTGATTTGGGGATTTTTTTTTTTTCTTTCTCAGGAAATTGCTTTAAGGAGTGTGGGAGCGAATTAGTAAGAACAATAGGAGATTCAGATTGACTCGATTTTTCAATTTGATTAGCTTCATTGAAAATCGAGTCAATCCAAAGCTCCTCTTGTTCTTGAAGAAAGCCTTAAGAAAAACCAAGAAGCTTCAAGAACAATATCACAATGCCTCTTGTAAGCTCTCTAATCTCCATACATCTTCGTTTTCTCAAAAGGTTAAACATCACAGGGCATTCTTACACAGTTTGCAATCTTTGCAAGATTACAGGTATGGTTTTATGACATGTGTAAGAAATTGAATCCTGGGGAAATTATGTTTGTTCTTCCGTTGATGCTGCACATTTTTTAGATAGTCGATACGCTTCTTCGAGTAAGAAACTAAAGAGACGTCGAAAATGTCTTTGTATTTCTTACTGTTTGGATTATTGTGTGAACCCTTTTGGGTCGCTTTTGAATCTCATTTCCAGAATTGTTTCAACTGAGTTTGAACCAAAACAAAAGAAATGAAAAAAGGCATTTGAAAAATATATCTCTATTCATTTTCGTCTTGTATGTTCAATGCGGATTTAATAGACTGAAGATCCTGTAGAACATCTTGGACCCCTTGGCTTAAATCCTCAAACTGTTGCTTTGGTATATGATATGTCACTTCACCTCCTTCTCCCACGTGTTCCCGCAAAGTCACAATCTCTTCCAGAAGCTTCACAGTATTAGCCTTGCCGATATCGTGTTGGTGAGTCTTTCCAGGTGATTCTTGTCTGGAAGCTATGTTGTTGCTTGTATCGGTATTTCTCTTGGCTACAGAGTTTCCTCTATGTGATGATTCAGCTTCAGAGGATCCTGGTGACTTCTTCCTCGTTAAAGAAGATGAACCAGAAACAGAAGATGGTGACTTGCTTGAAACTCTGGGACTCGTGGGATTGTTGTTAACACGCGAATTGACAGCTTCGGGAGATCTTGATGATTTCTTCCTCGTTAAAGAAGATGAACCAGAAACAGATGATGATGACTTGTACGATTGTTTTGAGCCTCGCGGGCTTGGGGAGTTTTTCTGACCACTCGAGTTGCTAACAGCTTCAGGAGATCTTGGTGACTTCTTCCTCTTTAACGGAGAACCAGATAACGATGGTGACTTGTAAGGTTCTCTTGAAACTCGCGGGCTTGGAGGATTGTTGTTCTTCATATAGCTCTCTCGCTTTTGAGGAAAGTCAACACATGATGTACTACGTCTTGGAACCTTAGGAGATGGGCTCGATTGTTTGGCTATGTTTGCGACCCGAGGTAACATTCTCGGTTTCTTGACAGGAGAATCTGCAGATAAAATGCAAAAACTCAATCCAGAGAAGCGATGGAATCAACAGTGAGACCTGAACATGAGAGAATATCATTTTACCGGTTTGCTTTGCCGAAAGCGTATGCGTCTGGGAAGGAGATGAAGGAGATCTTCCCGGTGATGAACCAGGAAGCTGAAATGTGACATGACTCTGACTCTTACTTCCCCCTGAGCCCCTGAGAACTCCTTTGAGATCCTTAACATCATCCGCTGCTACCCTCGAGCTTCTATCAGGGCTCTTTTTCCACTTGGGTGGTGATCTCTGGACCCATTCAGGCTTCTTTCCCTCAGCTTTTGCGCTTGATGGTTTCCACTTCACTGGGGAAAACGATGCTGCCTTTGCTGTTGTTGTAGTCGTCGCATCAGGTATTACAGTCACCGGTTTCTGTCTCGGAGGTGAAGCCAGAGCCTTGTGGGAAAGTTTCTTAGCCTCGGACTGCAAAATCGAAACAGAGAGCTTCCACCACCGAATGTAACCAACCGTAACATCAGCCTCGTGGAGCCGTGCAGGGATATACAACATATCATCAGAGATCGGACGGATGTAATCTCTCCACGCCAGTTCAGGAGTCTCGACCCTAGCTGGAACTAAACCGGGAACATCCTGGTCATAACCAAACTGCAACGCCACACGGTGCGGATAATAAGGCTCAGGTTCAGTGCAGTCAAAACCAACCAGTTTAGAGAACCTCAAACACCGACCAAAGGATACGATGCTCTTGTCATCGGAGCGCACACGAACCCAGCAGTCATCTTCCAAGTAAAACCTCGGGAATTTGAAGTTGTTCAGAGGTTTTGTGTAGGGACGATAGTCGAAACTCTCTTTAGCAGAGTCCAAAACCGCTCTCACATCCTCAGGGTAGCCGTACGAATCCTGACCGCCACCGTGTTGGTGCCACCGGGCCAATCGTGGCTCACCAGGCTTTAACTGGCTTGGCTGGCCCGGTGGCTGCAACCCCATGATCCTCTCGTAAGCCCAAACCTGCACAAACTGAAACGGAGACTTCACCACAGCCGTCTCTTTCTCACTGTAACCGGCGAGTTGCTCTTTTAAAAGACCGAGGTCGTGATAAATCCCGGCTAAAACCGCCGGAGCCAGAGCCAATTTACGGCCTTTAGCGAGCTGGATCGCAGCCGGAAACAGCGTGTCCTTCACCAAATCAGCTGAATTGGGGAAGACGAAACGGGTGAGCCATGAAACCATGAAGGCCTCGTGCTCAATCTCATTCCCTGAGTTCATCATCTCTTTCATCCACGAGCTAACGCAACATCTCTTCCCCAATTCCGCCTCGATTTCGCGTTTCGCCTTCTTCATCTTCTCCTCCACCTCCTTCATATCTTCTCTTTTGACCGGAGACATCGCGTTGTTCCCAATCACGGAGAATCCACCAAGAACAAACATGTCCTCAAGCGTAACCGTCGCTTCGCCCCAAGAGAAGATGAATGTGTTCGTCTCTATGCACCATTTCTCCACCAAAGCCATCACCAAATCATCCTGCTTCTTGATCTGATACCGAGACGACATAATCGCGTCGTGAACCCCCGATTTCCTCCACACCGGCGCGTGTCTCTCCTCCATCGCGTTAACCCACTCGATCCAGTTCACCGACGGAGATCCCCAGCCCGGAAACGATATCTTCGCCGACCAATTCGCCGGATCAATCGCCTCCGGTCGATACGCGAACGCGTCGAGGGGAAGCTCGAAGACGTCGTCGTCTATAGATGTGGTGGTGTAATTGAGGAACCTCGCCGTTCGCAAACCCTCGAATTTTTCACCGTCGGGACACATTAAAGCTTCCCTGACTTGAACAATATGCTCCTCCTCTTGATCAGAAGATCCTCGAGACTCCATCTGACAAAATCTAGGGTTTTGGGTCGATTTCAGTATCCGTGGTCAAAAAGAACAAATGTGTACGGGAAAAGAAAGGAGAAAAGGGTTTAGCGACACCAAAATCTCTTTCTCCGCCGGATCAATTGCCGGCGGTCCCGAATTTTCCGGCGGAATTAACCGGCACGTACACCCTAAAGTTTCCCGCTTTGACAACGAGAAGCAGAAAATGAAATATTTTTCTTATAAATGTATTTATAGAAACAGAGAGCCAGCTTGATCGTGAGACATATATATTACCCCAACGGCTCTAATAATTACATGTTTTCTTCATCCAACGGCGGCTGACGAACTTGTCAGGAGGATACCCCAAATTGGAAAATTTGATCTTCTTCTTTTTTAGGTTAATTGAGAATTTTGATCAAGAAAATTATTATTGTTACAGCCTTACAGGTAACATAAAAGGTATTTTTATTTGTCAGATGATAATTATCGCATATCACAACTACCTATTGTGTAGAAAGTAGGAAAATTTGTAACAAATGACCCACACTCAGAACATCGAGTCAAATGCAAAAGTTTCACATACTTTTTATTTCCTCCTTTAGATCTTTTTTTAATCTAAAATAAAACATTGGTACATGTATGTATTGTCAGTAATTTGGGTATTAAAAATAAAATAAAAAACAGAAGTTTCTATATTTTCTATGTAATGAGACATTAGTCCATGTATTGTTTGCACACACATTTTACTAATCAACCCGTTTGCCTATATTTCGAGTACTCATTAATCGTTATTCGAATAAATTCGTACTTGGCCATTACTTTATATTATTGTCTCAGTAATAGACAAAAAATTGAATTTCTTTACGAGAAACTTGAAGATACTTTTATAAACTATTTGCAATATTTGTGAGGAAGCAGATTTTTGATGTTACTTATTCAGTAAACCATACACACTATTTTGATGTATAGATTTTTTTTTAATGGAAAACTTGAAGGTAATTTTATAACTGTAAACCATATATATTATTTTGATTTGTACTTTTATAAACTATTTGCAATATTTGTGAGGAAGCAGATTTTTGATGTTACTTATTCAGTAAACCATACACACTATTTTGATGTATAGATTTTTTTTTAATGGAAAACTTGAAGGTAATTTTATAACTGTAAACCATATATATTAGGGGTGGACAAACGGGAATATGGGACGAGATTTTGCGAGAATGGGAACGAGACGAAATTATAGAAATCAAAATAATTGTCCCATATGTATTTCATTCAAAATTTGGGACGGGACGGGAATGGGACGGGATAGGATGAGAATGGGATGAGAATTCCCAAAAAATCTAATAACATGAAAAATTGACAATTGTAAAAAAAAAGTTTAAAATTCAATTTATATTCGTCCATTGTTCATTTCCTAAATTCTAATAAATAATAATAACATGTCATATAAGATTATAAATTAACCAAGAAACAAATAAAATCGAACTTAACTTAATTATTAAAATTTAAAAGCTTCAATTTTTTTTTAAAAACCAACATAATCCATTGAATAGTAAACAAAAAACCACATATAGTCTATTAATCATATATAATAAAATAAAAAATAAAATCTAACATAATCCGTTTGAATCTCAGCAGTCAGCATGCATTTAGACTATAACTTATAAGTTAGAACTTTAGAGGTGCAACTTTTAAGTTTTAACTTTCGTTTATATAAAATAATATATTAATATATAATAATGATTAATTTGGTAATATATTTTAAATATCTAATTTATTATTTATATATAATTTGGGACAAATGAAACTTCGGGAATTCCCGTTCCCGTCCCGTCCCGTCCCATTCCCAAATGGGAATTAATATGTTGTACCATATGAGAAGCACATTCCCATATGGTATGGGAATTTGAGATCGGGACTGGGACGGGATGGGACGGGACGGGATGGGACGGGACGGGATGGGACGAGAATTGTGCCCACACCTAATATATATTATTTTGATTTGTATTTCGATTTTACTTTTACCAAACAAACTACATACTTCGAAAATCCTTTTTTTCAAAGCATAAATTCATTAAATAGATCGCCGTACTTTGGTCAGTTTTGAATCATTAGTGAACTACAACATTATTTTGGATTTTGGGCTCAGGGTTTTTGGATGGATTGATATGTAGTAATATGACCCAGCAAGAGCCCATTAAATATAAAAGGTCGATCTAATTATACTATACTAAAGAGTAAGTGATCATAAAGTTTCATTACTTAATTAACTTCCAAGTTCCAACAACTTTTGTTGAATTTTGTTCTTTTAGCTTTCTGTCTGTCAACCCTTTTGTTGAACTCTAATAATAATTTTATTCCTATTTATTTGTAAAGTTATAAAAAAAGTCATAAGATTTGGCGTTTGACATTTGAGTTTACATTGTTAAGTTTCAAGCATGCTTTCGAGAAGTTTATAAACTTTTCTTTTTATTTACGTACCACTGACTTAGTCAATGTTCTAACTTCTTAACCAAAAAAATATAAATAAACTTAAACCTGTTAATTGTAAAACAACTGCATTATTTTGATCAAACAGTAAATTTGCTGTATTTTCCACTCACCACCTATAAAAAACTACAATGTTTATAAAGTAATTTGCTTACTCCATATACATTGAAAATGTAAAATAAATTATCATAAGTAAATGTTATGGTGCAGTGTAGGATTTCGAAAACTTTAACTCAATCTTGAAATAGAAAATATCTCAAGAGACCTAACTTTTTGAATTGATGAATTGAATCAAATAAATTACAAAGCTTCATGTTTTGATGAATTTAATCAAATCAAAGCAAGGATAAGAGAAAACTCTTTGTTTATTATTCTTCAAAAGCTGCGTATTACAAACTCTAAAACAAAGTTTATATAGACCTAGATCCGTAATCACTAGTTGATTAGAGAAAGGAAACTTATAGTTAATCGAAAATAAATTTAAGAAACTAATCTTTTTTTATACGTAAAAACAGAAATATCGAAATAAAACCAAAGCAGAAAAGGAAAACATAAAAAGTTGGCGGTAACTCAAAGAGATGCCACTGCATCAGGACCCTGAATCGTCGGCGCTATCAAGAGGAAGGTATGGAGACAAAAAGCAAACATTGAAGACATCACAATATGCATTGTCATTATGCATTGTCATTAATGCGTTCAAGGATCTTTAACGGACCAACCTTCTTGGCTTGAAGTTTGTTGTAGAGGCGTGCAGGCATACGATTGCGAGTTAACACCACCCAAACTAAGTCACCAACATCAAAGACAAGTGGACGTCGATGAGAATCGGCTGCTGCTTTGTAGCGGGAAGCAGATGATGTTAAGTTGGTGATGGTTTTCTGATGTACCTCTGTGACTTCGTCGACAAAGGCAGCAGCGTCACCATGGATAAGAGTGTGATCGGGTAATGAAGACAAGTCAACCGGGGCGCGAGGTATCATACCATAAATGACTTGAAAGGGACTGAAGGTGGAACTGCAGTTGACGGCATGATTATGTGCGAATTCAGCTTGAGGAAGACGTGCATCCCAAGTCTTGATAGAGTCACCAACTAAACAACGAAGAAGATTGTCCAACGAACGATTCACAACCTCGGTTTGACCATCTGTCTTGGGGTGATAAGCAGAACTCATATCAAGGCTAGTTCGCAAAAGTTTCCACAATGATCTCCAGAAATAGCTGAGAAACCGGAAATTTCGATCAGACACAATTGAAGACGGTAAGCCATGCAAGCGATAAATCTCTCGGAAAAACAGGGATGCGACTTGAACTGCATCAGTAGTCTTTTTACAAGGAACAAAATGCACTATTTTGGAGAATCGATCCACTACCACGAAAATGGAATCATAACCATGTTGAGTGCGAGGGAGACCAACCACAAAGTCCATACTGATATCAGTCCATGGTTGCATAGAAATCAGTAAAGGGAGGTATAAACCGATATTTGTCGCGTGACCCTTAGACTTCCGACATGTCACACAACGTTCCACAAAATGGATGACATCTTTACACAAAGAAGGCCAGAAGTAAGACAATGAAACCAATTGAATGGTGTGATCACGACCGATATGGCCGTCATTATGAAGCTCCGAAATTAATTTGAGTCGCAAACTGCTTTCAGGGATACATAAACGAGTTCCATAAAAGAGAAACCCTTTGTTGATAGTATACTCGGGAAAAAGATCCGCCTGCACATAAAAAAAAACAGAGCCAAAGAAGGGATCATGCTCATAAAGATCAGCAAACGTGTCAAAACCTGGAACGGATGTATGCAGGACAGTAAGGAGCATCTGACGTCTGCTCAAGGCATCAGCGACACGATTAGAGGAGCCTGAAGTATGCTTAATCATGAAAATAAACTGTTGTAGGTAAGCGATCCAAGAAGCATGACGTGCGGAGACCTTATCCTGACTGTGTAAATGCTTTAGTGTGTCGTGGTCAGTATACAAAAACGAACTCCTTGTGAAAGAGGTAGTGGCGCCAGTGCTTAATGGCTTGGACTATCACATAGAACACGCACCAGCCAATTTTTCACTAAAATAAGCAATAGGACGCGATCGTTGACTCAAAACAGCACCAATTCCAGTTTTAGATGCATCACAATAGAGTTCGAAAAAAATGGTTAAGTCAGGAAGTGCCAAAATCGGGGCGGAGCTGAGCTTAGCTTAGCTTTAAGCAATTCAAAGGCGGAAGAAGCTTCTGTCGTCCACGTAAAAGGGCCATCACGAATGCAGTTGGTGATAAGCGCCATGAGACTGCTGAATTAGGGTACAAAACGCCTATAAAATGAAGCTAAGCCATGGAAACTTCGAGTCTTAGTAAGAGTACGGGGCGTGGGCCATGTCTGAATTGTAGAAACCTTCGCTGGATCCACAGCCAAACCTTGAGCCGAGACAATATACCCCAAAAAATGAACATTATCGGAGCCATATTCACACTTTTTCATTGTCGCGTATAGTTGATCGTGACGGAGAACGAGTAGC